GGGAAAGAGCCTGTGAGAGGGGCCTCAGAATAAGAATGGGAAAGGCAGGTTAGAAGATTTTCAGTGCTGAAAATGCTAATCTGCTGAAAGAGAGGGTCAGCGGGCAACCATTCTGTTGAGAAGCCAAGTGGGGTGGCCAGGATCCTTTGGGGACCGAACCCCTAGGGTTGGGGCCAAGAATTTGGAACCAGAGTACACTGGGGAAAAGCAAGGAGAGTGAGGGAGAGATGTGAGGGCAGCCCCCTCGGCTGGACAGTGGCCATTGCAAGGTTAGGGACGTGGCACCGAGCAAAGAGGTATGTAAAAGGTCAACAAAGAGCTCCTCCAAGCTAGTAAGTAACTATATGAGGCTGAGAAATGCAGAGGGAGATCATTCAAAGTCCTTTTAAGATGCACCCTCAGGTCTTTAACTTTTGTTTTTCACATGGAAAACAATACCAAGCCACTGCAGGGGGCCAGCTGCTGTGTGCATGGAATATGGAATATACTGGAAGACTAGGAATCAGTGAGACCAGCTGGACGCTACTGCAGATGTGAGAAGGGTTGGCTTTAGAGGCACACTTGGGTGTGTAGGAAGAAATGATCAGCAGGCCTTAGGGCTGGATTGGCCGTGCAAGTGCAAAGACAGAAGACAAACATGGTTGGGGGTGGAGGTGCAGGGAAGGCTGTAAGAGGATTTGGGTTTTTGGAGGAATAATTAAAATGCACAGATCTTGGGCTTCCCTGGTGGCGCAGTGGTTGAGAGTCCGCCTGCCGATGCAGGGGACACGGGTTTGTGCCCCGGTCCGGGAAGCCCCCCACATGCCGCGGAGCGGCTGGGCCCGTGAGCCGTGGCCGCTGAGCCTGTGCGTCCGGAGCCTGTGCTCCGCAACGGGAGAGGCCACAACAATGAGAGGCCCGCGTACCACACACACACACACACACACACAAAAGCACAGATCTTAAGTATGGAATGAATTCTGATAAATGTCTACATCCCACCCCACCCCCACCCCAAGAGAGGTTTATAGAAGACCGAGTTTCCAGTGCCTGCAGGTCCTAAGCGAAGTTGCCTCAAAGGCAAGAAGCTGCATGCCCCTGAAGTAAGAAGCAAGAAGGACTGGAACTCCAGATTTGAAAGTTATCTGGAGCCAGCGGGTGGAAATCTTGTGAGCAAACGAGCACAGGTGCAGGAAGAGGTAACTGGAGAACAGAAAGGCCCAATGTGGGGCGCACTTAACCCCCGCACACTGAGGAGCTTATTTGCTGTTATAAGCGCAGAGACTTTTCTCAGGCCTTCCACCTCATACTTAATTCTCTTAAATGAGAAAGAAACCACTTTCTGGCTGGCTTCTTTCAAAGTCTGCCCTATCGAGCTTGGAAAATGGCGTCACTGGGGGGAAGGGAGCTGGAGGATCCCACAGGGTGGTCTGCCCCTCCTCCAAGCAGCCTTCACGACTACGATGCACAGCAACCGTCTTGAGCTGGGAAGCCCAGCTTCCTCCTTGCAGCGTGCTAGGGCAGCCCGGCCTGGGCACGCTGAGCGTACAGGGATCACACAATCCCCGAGCACCTCAGCTCCGGGTGTGCGTTTGCAGTGGCTCTGCAGCAATGACCTCGGTGTTGGCAGCCCGTGCAAGCTTGCAAGCAGCGGGAGCTCGGTGCCTAGAATTGAGGGGCGGTGGGCGTGGCTGCGCTTCCTCGCGCCTTCTCCCGCGCAGGCAATCCCGGGAACGTTCTGAAAAGTATCCAAAAGTTCTGCGCCGCGCGCGCGCAAAAAGGAAAAAAAAAAAAAAAACGGGCACAACCCCCCACCACTCTGGGCGTTGCGAGTCTCGACCTCGCCATTCCAGCTGCACCTCCGGCTGCAGCGCGTACGCCTCCTGCGCCTCCTTCTCGGGAGCCTTGCCGTCGGCTGGGTGCTCCCCTTGCAGCCACCGGAGAGTCCCTGCGCATCTCCTTGGGGCACCATGCCCAACGACGACGCATACAGCAAGGCTTCGCCACCGTCGGAGGCCCCGCACGCCCCTGGGTCACCACCGCAGGGCCAGGCCGGGGGCTTCGGCAAAGCGGCCGGGGCGCTGCTCGGGACCACGGGCGGCGCGGGCGCCGGGGGCAGCGGTGGCTCAGGCTCGGGGGCGTCGGGCATGGACGCCGCCGCGAGCAAGAAGTCCCCGCGGCTGCCCAAGTGCGCGCGGTGCAGGAACCACGGCTACGCGTCGGCGCTCAAGGGCCACAAACGCTTCTGCATGTGGCGGGACTGCCAGTGCAAGAAATGCAACCTGATCGCAGAGAGACAGCGCGTGATGGCCGCGCAGGTGAGTGCGGGCGCCCCGGAACCGGGGTTCAGCCCTTAACTTTTTGGGTAAAGCCCCTCGGACCAGGCGGGCGCCATGCGGGGCGCGGGTTCGGGAAGAAGGCGGCGGTGCGTCCCGACAGCCGCAGCGCGCTCGGGGCCCGGGTTCCCAGCCACGCGCGGACGCCGCTCTCGGAGGGCCGGGACTCCTCTCCGATGGAGCAGGGAGGAGCGGGGTTTACTCTGCACCGGCGGCTCCGGATCCTTGACCCCCCTCCCTCCAATAGGAGTTGTGGGGTTCGCCCCCTCGTGGGTCTCGGCGGTCCCGAGGATCCCAAGGATGTCTGATTTCCCTTTCAGAGCTGAGAGTTGCGGGGTTTGCACTGCTCGGGAAGGCTCCCCGGGATCTTCGACCTCGCTTCTGGCAGAGAGTTTCGCGGTTTGCGCCTTCGGGGGCCCCCGGGATCTCTGACCTCGCTCTCTGAGCAGAGTTGGGGGGTTTGCCCCCTCGTGGTTCAGTGGGATCCCTGACTCCGCCTCGAGCAGGGAGGTGCGCTTATATTAGGGAGGGTGCCCGCTCTGGCTACTGGTTAGGGCGAAGCGGAGACCCGGCTGGCTGCTGCTTATCCGCAAAACGCGTCGAGAGACTTTGTTTTTCTGGAAAAGGCGCTGTAACGGACGCCAGGGTGGCGTGGTCTTCGTTGTGCTCTTGGCGCACTTTTCGTATTCGCCCGGGTGGATCCAGGTTGAGTGTCTCAGCCATTTTGAGCACTACGGAAATTTCATTAGCCTTTTAAAATTTGCTGTCTCCACCGAAGTTATTAAAGTACAAATTACTTTGAGTGTGTTTTAAAACACACCTAAGAATTTTTTAAAATCTACGCAGAGGAGTAGATGCAAGAGTTTGAGGTTTTGTCTACCGTTCATGGAGTGTGTTAGTTTTTTAAAGCATCCTAAGCTGGGCAGTAATTTAGCACCTTCACGGAAATAGTTAACGTCGTTGGTAACCTAAAATGATTTTTAGAAGAGAATAATATACATTCTTTCTCGCTAAAAGTTGTTTCATCCTTTTAAAACAGGTTATTTAAAATGAAAAGGTACCAAAGAAATGCTTACTATGTGCTACTTTTGGTTAGGAATGGGTAAATAGCCCCCACTGAAAGTGATTTAGGTAAGATCCTTGAACAGGAGTGCACAAGTGCTTAGAGATTATACTTTTTATGTACATCCAATTTTGAAATGTTTTAAACTAGATATATTTTGGCTTCACAGATTGTGAGTGCACTCATGGAAATATAGGTTGTTTTACTGAGTTTCTTTATAGACTTTTAATCTGTAATGGATGAAAAGAATACACTGAGTGTAGCATTAAAATGCATCACAATGAGTTTACTGAAAAAAAAAAAAACCTTATGGACCTTTAAATTGTATTTGTAGGTAGAAAAGTTTTCTGAACATTTAGCTGTTGGCTTTAATATTTAATACGGAGAGTATGCTTGGGAGGGGAATTGTCCTCAAAATGTCATAAAAATATATATCCAAGTAGGGCCATTAATTTTGAATAAGCTGTATTAATAGGCGTAGTAACTTGGAAGGAGGATGTTTGCTTCGTTAAAAACAAAAGCAACTCAAGATTACTTTTATAGTATGAAACTTCACTGTTTTCCACACCAGAAGGCTTGTGCTGTGCTGAATGAAATCCTTTAACATTCATGTAACAGGCATTTTTGGTCATTCTAAAATAGTTTGAAATTGATCTTAGATCTGACTCTAAAACAATTGCATTTTAAATCAATTGCCCCACCTTCCCCATTTAAATAACATTTCCTAAGAACGCTTGAGAGGTCTTTGTAAAAGTGTTTTAAGTTTATGGACTATGTAATACCCTGTATGTTTTGTGCATGCATGGGATTCGTGTAAACCAGGGTCTAAGTTTGCATTGACACACTTCACAAGTTCATGGGTATTCCTTTAAAAAATTCGTGGTCAAATCTTTAATATTCTCTTCCTAAACTTCTTGGTTAATAAGAGAAAATTCAAGAATTAAGCTTAATTATTTAATCTTAATTGATTATTCAAGGATATTTTTAAAGTTGAAGACTCCTCTTGTTATGAGTAAAATTACTTCCAAATTAATCATTTTTCTAAATTTGGACTACGGTATTCCTAAGACAGTGTGTAAATTGTAGTTGTGTTTCTGGTTTACCCTTTTGATTTCAACCTTTGGCTTGTATTTGGGCCTCTGAGGTACAGATGCTTCCCTTTCTCATTTCATTATTACCGATGGTCAGTTTCAGCAGAAAGTCTCCGTTTTTGTTATTTGTAGTAAAGCCACAATACAATTTATTTTCTTGACACCTCTTTTTTCAACCTTAAACAATGTTATTTAAAAGAAGAGGGACGATGAGGAGTGTCTTACGTGCGCTGCGTCCTTTCCAGCCCCCACTTGAATCTCCTTCCCTCCTGCCTGGAGTGCGGCACGTGTCCTCTCCCTTTCTCTCGTGCCACCTCCAGCCTCTCTCCCCTGAGACTTCAGCGCCGTATTCCAGCCCCCTTTTCCCCATTACTTCTGTATGTGCTCCCTCCCCCACAGAGAACAGGGCTCTGCAAGCAGCCCCTGCCTTTCCCGCCTACCCTGCTCCCTTATTCCGGGTCGTTCTGCCCCTTCAGCCTTGCGCGTCAAGCCCCACTCATCCTATTCTTCAGGGCCCTGTTCCAGTACCACCTGCAGCTTATACTTACACTTAAAGCCATTTCTGCCCCAGTTTATTCTGGAGGATCCGTGTATGCCTGTCCTGTGGTGTTTACCATGTTTTGTCTTGAGTTGCAGTTGCATGTTTGCCTGTTTCCTGCTTCTCCTTTTAAATAGTGAGTACCTTGGGATCTAATCTAACCTTGCTGTATCTTGCTGGTCGCTGTTCCCGGTACAGCAGCCTTTGACACAACTGTGGAAGGAAAGAGTGAGTGACCCCGTTCTCCTTCCTTCGTAGTCTCTCGGTGCTGGCTTCTCCTCACGTTGAATGCCTCTGCTGACTCCGCAGCTTCTCATCCAGCCTTTCCCGCTGCTCTATATACTCACTTGTTTAAGGGACATTTTAGGAGTGCTTTTACTGTGGGCCAGGGACTCTGGCTGGAAACCATTTCTCAGCTTTGGCTGCATCTCAGAGTTACCTGGGTAGCTTTAAAAAGCAAGGAGGGATTCTCAGGCCTCACCCTGGGGTGGGTGGGGCTTCCGTGGCTTTGGCAAAGCTGTACCGAGTGACTCTGGGGTGCTGGGGGGTGACCCACTGTCCTGTGCTTCCAGGTGGCCCTGAGACGGCAGCAGGCCCAGGAGGAGGAATTGGGCATCAGCCACCCCATCCCGCTGCCCAGCGCGGCCGAGCTGCTCATCAAGAGGGAGAACGACAGCAGCACCCCATGCCTGATGACTGAGGGCAGCAGCCCCTCGCAGCCTCCGCCGGCCAGCACCCCGACCGCGTCAGCTGCAGGTGAGCCTGTGGCTGGGATGGAGGGATGAAAGGCGTGGCCACAGAAACAGAGTCTCGGGAAGGTCCTGAGCCCCAGAGCACATTCAGAGCTTAGAGGTTTCTTAAAAGATCCTCCCTTCTGAAGGTCTGTTTTTGACGGCCTCACGAAGGAGGTGGGCCTGAATTCTAAAACCAGAAGTTTGACGGCTTCACTTTTCTGTTGGTTATTTGTCAAGGCTGAATCTGGGCAGATTCAGAATCCCAGAATCCCAGAGAGGTGAGAGTCCAGATTTCATTTCAGTCAGCCCCTTCCATTTGTGGGTCCTCTCGGTGGGAGCTAAAGATCCTTGTTTCCTAGAATGAAAGTCCATTTCTCTGGAAAGGACTGAAGTCCGTTTGGGGAGAGTGTCTAAAAAAGCCAAATCCTATGTGTCAGCTATCAGTGGATACTGGAATTGAGGCAAGGCGTGTCCATTGGCTTCATTTCTCTCCCAGGTACTAAGATTATACCAAGGGCTGCATGTATGCTGATTCATTTCATTTCATTCTTAGAAGAAGGAAGTATTAATCCTATTTTATACCATGGGAAAATCGAGGTATAAAAATTTTAAGTGACTGGCTACATCTGAAGAGCTAGAAAGTATCTGAATTGGTCCATCTGTCTTCAAAGCTCACTATGCTTACTGCACTGGGTCTCCAAATTACCTCAAGAATTATGGTATTCTAGAGCTGCACTGTCCAGTATGGAAACCCTTAGCTACATTTTGCTACTTAAGTTGATTACAGTGAAATAAAATTAAAATATTCATCGAAAGAAGATATGCAAATGGTCAAAAGCCCAAGGAAAGATGCTTGATATCATTAGTCATTAGAGAAGTGCAAATCAAAACTATAATGAGATATCACCCCACACCCATGAGGGTGACTACTATCAAAAAAACAGAAAATAACAATATTGGTGGGGTTGTAGAGAAATTTGAACTTTTGTGCACAGTTGGTAGGAATGTAAAATGGTGCAGCTGCTGTGGAAAACAGTATGGTGGTTTCTCAAAAATTGAAAATAGAATTATCACGTGATCCAGCCATTCCACTTCTGAGTACATACCCAAAAGAACTGAAAACAGCGTCTTAAAGAGATATTTGTATATCCATGTTCATAGCAGCATTATTCACAATAGCTAAAATGTGGAAGCAACTCAAGTGTCCACTGACAGATGAATGGTAAGCAAAATGTGGTAAAAAAATTACTTAGCCTTGAAAAGGAGGGAAATTTTGGCACATGCTACAATGTGGATGAACCTTGAGGACATTATGCTAAGTGAAACAGGCCAGTCGCAGAAACACAAATACTGTATGATTCCACTCATACTTAGAGTAGTCAAAATCAGAGAGACAGAAGGTAGAATGGTGGTTGTCAGGGGCTGGGGGCAGGGGGGAATAGAGAGTTATTGCTTAATGAGTATAGGGTTTCAGTTTTACAAGAAGGAAAGAGCTATGGAGATGGATGGTGGTGATGGTTGCACAACATTATGAATGTAGTTAATGCCACTGAGCTGTGCACTTAAAGATGGTTAAGATGGTAAATTTCATGTTGCGTGTATTTTAACCACAATAAAACATAAAATTAAAAAATTTAAACATTTAATTCCTCAGTTGCACTAACCACATTTCAGGTGCTCAACAGGCACATATATAGCTGAGGCCTGCCATATTGGCAAGTGTGCATTTCCATTTCTCACAAAGTTCTATTTAATGGCACTGGTCTAGAATGCAGGGGCTCTAAGAAATCCACCAGACAAAGATCTGTGACATCCTGTTGGCAGATGCAGGCATCTATTTCATATTAAACACATGTGCCGAGGTTCACCGAATCTTTTGAGCCTTCTAAGCCTCCATGAAATGGAGCCTTGCAGTGCGGTTCCTCTTAAGTAAGCTTTTCATGAGTTACTCAGTTTGCTGCGGTTAACCATCAGGGTAAAGTTGTCAGCTGCCTAGCTGTCATTTAACTAGCTGTGCAACTTTAGACAAGTCACTTTAGCTCTCTGGTCCTATTGTTTCCTCTTCTCAAAGATGAGGGATGAGGTCTTTGAGGCTTTTGAAGATTCTAGGAGCCTTGACCATTATAAAGAAGAAGGTTAGCGGGCACCAAAGGAGGCAGGTGAGAGATAGACTTGTAATCTCTGCTGCAGGTCGGTTTGTCTGTGTATCTGTCCCTGTGTGTGTTACCGGGGCTACAGATTCTGTAGCTAACAAAGGGAATGGTATTATTTTCTTTTTTTTTTTTTTTTAGCTCAGTTGCTCATAATATATATTTACAGCAGTTTCTAAACTTCCCTTTTCTTAGGAAGGAAGGAGTATATCTGTCAGAAATATGATTCCTGCGCTTCGGGATTGTAAGCTGTGTGTAAGGTTAATTACCAAATACTACCAGGTCAGGGCAGACCTGGTGGATTCAGCTGGAGGGACTGATAGGGGACGTTCCAGAGGAGTAAAGAGGGGAGTAACTCATTTGATGTTCACACACATCTTATAAAGTAGGAATTATTATTCCTATTTACAGATAAGGAAGCCAGTGGTAAGGAAACTGCCCCAGAATAAAGGTGAATTAAGCTGGGATTCAGCCTAGGTCTGTCTGGTCCCAAAGCCCATGAATTTCTTCACCTGCCTGTGAAGTGAGGCCATGGGAATAGTTGCCGTGCTTCCTTGGAAAATGGAAAGTTACAATTAGAGGTTACGGTTTAATCCTCAGAAGGGATTTAGGGCTGATGGGCAAATAGGAGCACTGTTAGGGGCAGCGCCATTCTTGGCTGGCATGGAAGGTTGCAGCCACTGGTCTTCATGGGGAGAAATACAGGGACAGGCCCGTGATGGATAAATGTCAATGCTGGGCATTTGGTAGGGAACCACAGGTGAACTTGGTGTAGCCTGGTGTCCCGCATTGCACCTCAGTGGAAGGGGTGTCAGAGTTTGGTAGCATACCCCAAGATAGTGAAGCCTTAGAGAAGGATTTCAGGCTAGATGGAGTTCAGAATGACAAAGAAGTTCTCGCAGGGCATTTCAGAGTGGTGATAGGGAAAGTTACAAATAGAAGCAGCAGGGAAGCATGATAGAAAGTTCAGGGTCAAGGAGGATGTGACCAGATTCCCTTCTTTGCTTCTGGAGCTGATAGACCTTGGAGTCATTTTGGAGTCTTGAACCAGCACTTCAAGGGAGCGGAGTGTGGAAGCCAGCAGTATGTGTCGCTCCTGTGCTCACATATGGGCGGGGAGGCTATGCCTGCCCAAGAAAGATGGGCCAGCTCATCTTGGTGGGGCAGGAGCCTCATCCATCATCATTACTCAGGACTTCCACCAAAGCTCTTGAGTTGGGATCATTAACTTCCGGAATGGGCTGGGACTTGAACACGAGAAAAACAGAAATGCCAGTAGAATTAAACTGTGTAATGTTAAGAGGGAGAAAGACAGAAAGGGCAGTGAAGGGGAGGGAGGGAGGGGGGAAGAGAGGAGGAGAGAGAGAGAAGCCGTGACAAGACAGATTGACTAAAGAGTGTTCCTCATGTTCTATGCAGCACAGTGGGCCCAACTTCCTGCATAGTGTGCTGCTAACAAATATGTAGCTTGTATTAAATTTCCAGAGATAAGGATTTCTTTAAAATAACATTTAACTTTATGCAGGTAAACGGTAAACATTTACAGAGTACAAAACATATATATTCAACGAATATATTCCAATCTCAACCTGTAGGGTCTTCTTTTTGTTATCCCAGGATTGATTATAAGCTGCACGTGCAAGCTTGTGTGTCTGTTTATCGTTTTCATACGTGTGTATGTGTATGTATAATTTATATATTTAACATAATGGGAGTGTATTGTTCCCACCCGTGTGTAGTTTTTATTTTTTTCATTTAAAACTGGAATTTTTTAATGGCCTAGTATTCCATTATATCGACGTGGAAGGCTTGGATTTGCAGTTACCTCGTGAGAGGTGAAAGTTGTAGCAGTTGTCATGGGGTAGAGCAGCCCACCAACCTGGCTTCCACGGGGGCGGGTTGCTCACCTTCTCTTTCACATACCTGATGTTGAGTGGTTTAGTGAAATCCAGCAGATGTTTATGTCCTTGAGGCTTCTTCGTTATCTCCTTTTGGCTGCTGAAAGTGCCAAAAGTGAGAGTGAGAAATGCCCGAGAATTATTGCTGAGATTACTGGCTGAGTTCTAAGGCCTCTGTGAAGGAAACTGGGTTTACCAAGCTGTTGTTTGATCTCTTGGAGAGCTGATCCCTCTGAGTAGGATAACACCTTAGAAGAAAGTCTCTACGATCCTTAGCCAAAGATTGGCTGGCTGGGTCAAAACACTGCCTGACGATTCCTCCCACCATGGGTATAAAATATTTTTGTTGTTATTTTCATCTATGATCGCGGGTGTTACTGTGAAGGAACAACCTTTTGAAGAAATGCCCTACTCATTGCTGTCTCTTACACTGGCAGGATCAGATATGCTAACAGGTGCTCTATCGATTAGCAAATGGTTTCTTCCCAGCCATTTTGGGTCACCTCGAAAAAAGGGTGAGCACTTCCGCTTATAAATGACGGTGAATTAATAGCAACTTCAGCATTATTTCTGTGGTTTTACTTTTTAAATTTTAGCTTCCTAGATAATATTTTTTATTTTGAAAGTTATCAACTGACTTAAAAAATCTCATAGGCATTCCTCCTCTTTGAAATGTGGGCTCCTCGTTTTATTTTATATTCTGCTTTCCCTTCAGCCTCCTATGCAGCGAGTAGAATGCCATTTTATCCAGAGCTCACGCCGAGGTCCGCATAGTTCTCTGCCTCTCATTTTCTGTGCAGGGCTGTCAGATGAAGGGCTGCATTGTAGAGAATTCGGTTCTGCATACGTGTCCTTTGTAAGGACGGACCTGAATGTTATCTCCTGGGGCCTCCCTTCTGGAGCACCCTGGGCTTCCACACACACGCACGTTCGCACTCCTCCACATCAGGCCGCCTCCTGCCACCTCAGGCCTC